ACTGTAACACCGTACACAGTTGGCTAGTTAACATTCGTGATGCAGCGAATGTGTCCAACTTGCACAAAGAAGTCTGGGTACTGCATCTGCGGTTGAAGCAGCGGAAAGGCGGCCACGATGTCCAGCCCAACACCGGCTCCGCGGATCGATCCTGAGCCCGGACTTTGAGCACCAAAACTTGTTGAGAGCCCGTAGGGCTAGCGCCCTGTGCCACCGAACCAATATGCAAGACACTAGGCAGCCATCCTGCAGTGACGGCTGTTTGCTGAGGTTCTGTTTGAACCTGGTGCACTTGTTGGCGTGGGCAACTCACCGCGTAATGGCCACGCTCCCCACATCGGAAGCATGTGTTTGTATTTTGCGCAGGTCTTTGCTGCGAAAATTGGCTGTTTGTTTGGGGGACTTGAGAGGAATTTTGATTCTGATTCTGTGGATTCGCATGATTATTCCCGTTCCAGTGACGATTTGGGGGACGATTGTAACCTGCTGTGGGTTGCCATGGCTGTTGCCAAGGCGGGTTGCGCGCGCCATGAGGAGGACGCGTATTTCCAGTGCGATTCTGACCAGCAGCAGCAGGAGCGGTCGTGGCAAAGCCCGAAGCAGGGACCGGCGACCACGTAGACACGACAGGAGTAGGGCTAACAGAGGTTTGATGAGCTTTCTGCAACAACTGAACAGCACCATGGCGAAGAATAGCGGCTTTCAAAGACTCATAATCAGTTAATTTCTGAGCAGAATCTAGTGCAGCAGCTACAAATCGATCATACACCGGCGAATTCGCGTATGTGCGCAACAGTGCGTGAATTTGAGGTGACGCGCGAAGAAATTTTTCGGATGGATCAGGGAAAGCGCTAATCCCCAACTTCTCGACTTCTTGGCACAGTGCGGCAGGGCCAAGCGATGGGTTGCCTCGGAATGTAAAAAGCGCGGTCTGGGCCACATTAGACTTCGGACGCTCGATCTCTTCAAAAGCATCCACGAGAGCCTTAATAAGCCTATCAATGTTACCCAAGCGCGTCTCTTCCGGAATTGCGAGAGCTATTTCCAGGGCTGTGCCTTCCAAGGCAAGGATCAGTTGAGAGCAAATTTCAGCTTGACTGGTAGCGATTGTGCGGCCCGAACGAAAGAGAGCAATGAAGTGGCGGAAAGCTGTTAGATTCGTCGAGGAAAAAGCCTTCAGCTTAGAAGCGGGAGTGTAACGAGGAAGATTGGACCCGTACCCAAGAGGCAGCGCGAGGGGGTTTGCAAAAGAGGTTTCGGAGGGGAATGCCCTCATACCTTCTATCGGCATGCTCATCGGCAACGGCGTGTGCTGCATCGGTATCGGCATCGGCACCTCGGTGGGCAGGCTCCGGCTGGTCGACGACAGATCCAGGATGCGTGTGGGCTGTTGAAGTGGTCGACGATTTTGTATGTCCTGAAAATGAACAGCTTTTTCAGGCGAGATTAATTGCTCAAATGGGCGAGGCGAAATTAAACCGGGTCGGACATATGCAGAACGACCACGTTCAAATTGCATACCTGCGTTCTCGCAGTGCTGTGTCGTATTGGCAAGCGGGCGACCTTGCGGGTGGCCACCGAACGGATGACTGGTCGAGTTCTCCTTCTTGGCTGGAGTACCGTCTTCTTTCAACTGAAAAGAAGGATTGAGACCATCTTCCGGTGTCTGGTACACCAATTGCTTGAGATCGGCAACATCCAAAATACCCATAGCACGTAAATGTTGCAACCTTTCATAGCCTTTTTTGATCAGCATGTGCAGCGTCAGAGTTTTGCTTGCACAGCTTATTCCAACGTTCCGAGAGCGCTTCCATTTTTAAATCCCAATTTGATACCTCATCGGCCTCCTGATTCAGCTCGGCGTCTTGCTCGGGCGCTTGTTGTTGACCTCGGTGTGTGGTCGTTGAGCGCGACTTCTGGAAAAGAGAAGTTGGGTCCAGATTCCACCCCGAATCAGTAACAGAACGAGGCGCGTTTGTTTCAACTTTTTCGAACAGCTGGTGCAATTCAAGAGTATTTTGTACGCCCTTAGCGCGCAAAAATTGAAGTAGCTGCTGCTCTTCACTATCGCGATTGCCGTAATCAATGGCTAGAAACTTCTCGAAAGATTCCGACCATTCCGCGTTTTCTACATTCTGCTGGGGCTGAGCGAATTTAGGCGGGGGCAAAGGGCCAAAAGAGTCGTCAGGCGTTCGAAAATTACCAGCGCGGTATTGACGAAGTTTTGCCAAAGTTTGCTCCAAAGCTTCTACCTTGTCCGGAGCTTCCATTTGTACCGGCAGATCTGGTCGACCAGCGGTCTTCACCTTCTCCGGGCGGGTCATCTCCTCGCCGTTGTCCTTGGGCTCGGGATTACCCTGGAAAATAGGCGTTGGCGAGAAAAACTTCTGGGCGAAGTGAAACATTGAAAACGAGATTGACAGAGGGCTTTGTCAAAGAACCAAGTGCTGATCGTGCTCGGGGGTGAGCAGAGAATTTCGCTGAGACAACTCTGGGCTGAGTACTCAAAACGCGACGGCTGATGGCTCGGGGATGAGCAAACGCTCTGGGATGAGCGGGGAAGCGGGCAAGACGGTTCGGCCCCCAGTTGGACACCGAGGTGCCAAACAAAAAGGCGAAATCCACAGAACACAAGCTGCGTCCTTTCAGCAGCAGTTTCCAATCCAAACAAATACGACGCCAAGAAGTGGGGTCTTCCTGTAGACCTACAAATCAGCTCACTACGCCAGAAATGACGTCAGGAAGTGGAAAACACAAGAAGAATACCCAATTAATGTGTTAGAATGTATTTAAAGATAATGAGAATAGTAATTGAGTTTATTTTTACATAAATCAGGATAAAATGATAAAGCGTTAGTAAGTATGGAACGGGTAGAGATCGGGGAAGGGAGAACGGGGGAAAACAATGGGGGAAAACAATGGGGACGAGGGGGGAAATACGGGAAAAAAAGGAAATGTGGGAGACGGGGCCAAATTTAAACGCCTGAAGGCGCGAAAAATAAAAATCAACAACGGGGCAAACGAATTCGGGGTCAGAGGGAGATACCGAGTACGCGAATAAAAATAGTAGGCGAATAAATTTTTGAGAAAGAGAGGAACAGTATTTGGAAAAGTCTGAATGAAAACACAAAAGACGCAGAAATTGATGAAATTTCTAAGCGGGCACGTAGAGTAACATTTTACAGGAAAAAGGGAATCAAACAGGGGATTTTACACACACATATTCCAATCTTGCACAAAAATCTGGGAAAATCCTTTCCTTCTTTTTTTTCGCACATTTCTCGGTAACAGTAGTGGACGCTCCTTGAAGGGTCGTCAGTAGTTGCGGCGCGTACCGGATCTCCTCTGGCTCTTCCTAACGATGACTCCCATGGCGCTGGTCGTAGCGCTTCTTTCCATCCTTGTTTGGTGATGAGTAGGGGCGGAAACGGACATCAGCTCCAACTGAAATTCGGATTGCATTTTGCTCTGTTGAACACGTTTTGATGCTTGTTTAAATTTACATAATTTTATTGCTTTAAAAGGCTTTGTCCATAGCGCCTTTTTGCCTTCAATGGGCTTTTAAAATGCATAGATTATTTAGATAATCAGTTTTTAAGCAATCTGCCATGCATTCTTCCTTATTTATAACCTTTCTCACCTCTATAGAAATTTATACATTTTTAATAACAAGCTCATTTTTCCTTCAACAGCCCTTTAAAAGATTGGAATACCGTAGATAATTGGTTTTCTGACCAATCTGGCATGCATTCCTAAATTTCCCATAATCGTAAAGTGTGTCCGAGCGGAATTTCCAGGATTGCGGATGATTAAGATATTGTGGCTACGGCATGGCAGTCATAATAAAAAGAGAGAGAGAGAGAGAGAGAGAGAGACAGTCAGTCAGTTAGAAGGATGGGCAATTTGTTTTCTTCTTCCCTCAACAATTGGTGATGATGAAAAGAGAAGGAGGGATGAAGCTGAGAAACGGTCCTCCTTTTCTCTCTCTCTCTCTTTTGAGGGGATGCCCACCACTCAATTCCCCTTCCTTTTTCCCATTTCTCATATTTTGCTGGGAAATACTAGTAAAACTTGGATATTATATTAATTCCAGCTAGTGATACAAACTTCACGTTTAAAAATTAAATTTAGATTTTCTTGTTACAACAAAATATCTAGTGATTTTGGTTTTTTGCGTATTTTTCGGCTTTCTCTCTCTCTCTTTTTTCTCACTCTGTCACTCTCTCTCACTATCTCTTTCCCTCTATCTCTCTCTCTCTCTCCCTCTCTCTCTCTCTCTCTCTCTCTCTCTCTCTGTCTCTCTTCCTTCCAATTTGTTTCTTCTTCTCCTTTCCAATCTATGTTATTTGTGTCATGTAATGGCATGACCACCCCCCCTCGTGTCATCCTAGTGGAACGCTTTTCCCAGGTTCCCAACATTTTTAGAGGGTTTTTCTGGGGTCTAACCTTCTCTAATCGGAGTGGAATCTCGTCTTCATCTCTTCTGGCATACATACTACAAGAATCTCATTTTAGCTTACCCGATATCTATAATCTTTCATTTCTGAATTTTTAGCTTTTCTGCCAGACACTCCACTAACTCCGTGTTCTACAGTACTCCTATTTGTCATTTTTAAGTTTTAACGAGATTTTTAACTATTTTGTTATCAAGTTCATCGCTTCTATTATTCGCCCTATCTACCGTACTCCTATTTGCCACTTTGAGACGAACCAGATTTTTTTGGTAATCTGCCACAACAAAATTTCCATTCTACGGATGCCCTATTTGTCTTTATTGAGTTTCAACTGGAGAGTTTTAACTGGATTTCTGACTATTCAGATATCCATTCTATTTAGCTAATTGCTGGCCTAGTTACTGTACCTCATTTTGTTATTTATAATTTTTAATCGATTTTTGGCTGTCCTGCCATTTCTATATTGGCTATTTCAGTGCGAAAATGGATGGGGCCTGGGCGGCAGTAGTGCCGCATTTGGGCCCCCTGGAATTGAGGAAACTGGAAATGACATGTCGGGCGTTGTATCGACTCGTTTCTCAACACAAATCAAGGTATTAATCCAACCATTTATTTCGAAAATCACCGATAAATTGTAGTTTCCGAAGTCTCGACACGATGCGGCCAGAATATGAAACGTTGAATGAGGAAATTCTCACCGGATTGCTAGGTGAGTCGGTTTAAAGGGATTGGCAAGGCATCATGTCTATGGATTTACTCGATACGGAACCCGCATCACACTTTTTATATGGCGTCATCGATTACGACACTCTTGCTACTTTTTCCTGGGCATTCATAGACCAAAATCCATAGTAAGGGCTTGTCGGTTCCTTTAAGAATATCTAGGTTCCTCGCTGTCAGGCTAGAATCCAATTTTTTCTGCCGATTCGCCTATCTGCCATTCAGACTACAAACGACAATTTTTTCCAAAAAATTACAAACTTTGATTTTAAAGGGAACGTGACAGCTAATTTCCAAATTTACCAGCCAGCTGTCACGCTCCCTTTGAAACACTGTTGTTCCCCTGTAGCGTCCTATCTGTCATCTGGGCTACAAACTCCAGCGATTTTCAGAAACCATATGTCTTCGATTGGCTATACTAGCGATTATTCTAGCTGTCACACTCCCTTTAAAATGCGTGACAGCCATTTTTGGCCGTTTCCCAACTGTCACGCTCCCTTTAAAGCTAAAAGCCAATTTTTTTTGACTTTTCCCTCTATCTGCCATTCATACTACAAAATACAACAATTTTCAGAAGCCACCGGCCCTCGATTGTCCATGTTATCCCTTGGTGTTCGTACTCCAGAAGATGACGAACCATTTGGAAACCATCGAAAAGCCTTGCCTCCCTCCCTCCACCTCATCCCATATCACTCGATTCTCATTCGAGAAAAATCGTGGTTAACTAGGTATATTTTTATTCGAAAAATCGATACACTGCCTTTTCCATTCAGGCTTCATCTCCACAGGATGGTCCTCAGTCTCGGCGCATTAATGGCTTTTCGCGACTTTGCAGATACCTTAAAAGTCAGTTTGCTTTTTGGAGGACTTGTTCATTATCGGGGGAGGCAGAACACATCGGCGGGCAAAACCTATTTTCCCGGAGGCAAAAATATTAACTTTTCTAAACCAAATATGGCTATTTCTGACCAATATTGCCGATTTTCGAGCAAAATGTCCAACTTTTGAAAATTTCCAATTTTTCGATAATTTTTCCGCTTAAAGTGTAATTTCTAAAACACCGTTCAAGTGTTACGATTACGGTAATACGAACTTCTGGCTAACAAGAATCACTGCAAAAAACCGAATTTTCCGATCGATTACGCCATGAAATCAAGCCTTAAAGGCCGAGCCAACTTTTCCAAGCCTTTTCTTAAAAGACCATCTAATCCTTTAGGAGCTGATCATCTCCGGTTGCAGTTTCGAGGATTGTAACGTTGAGGGGGCGGAGCTTGTCGAGAAATCTCTAGTGTCATTAGTTGCAAAGTGTACTCAACTGGCCCATCTTCATATCGATGTAAGTATTTTTCTATGTATTATATTTTGCAAAATTTTGGTGGTTACAGTAATCTGGCAGGCAGATTACCGTAATCTGGAAAACTTTCAGCAGAAAAATTCATTTTAGGGCGCGCTGGAGGGCAATCATTGGATGGTGATGACGTCTCGACTATTGGAGGTTCTCCCATCTACTGTATCCCGAGTTCATATCTCCATACAAGGAGCACTGGATATTCGGCATCCGGAAGTGCTGGGAAGGCTTAAGTACGGTTTTATGCCATGTATTTTTCGTTTTTTGGGGACGTTTAAAGGGACCAGGAAGGCAGAAGATGCCGAAAATTGAATTTTGCGTATTCTAGTTTTTCTGGGGTTTAAGAATTTTTTTAAACCATTTATTTAGCTTTTCTGACCGGTGTTTAATAAATTTAAAGATTTCTACTACCTATCTGTCTTAATTGGTTCCCGCTTAAAGGAACTGCAAGTCAAAAAACTTCAAAATTTCATTTTTGAATATTTTAATTTTTTTGGTTCCAAATTTCGTGCAAACGATTTTATTTAGCTTTTTTTGGACTTGTATTTTAGGATCATCAGACGTTAGAAATAATTTTTAGGGTATTTCGAGACCATTAAAAAAAGATCGATTTCCTTGAAATTTTAAAAAACTAATATTTTATTTTTAGATCTTAATTTAATCTGAAATTCAATTTTACAGTATGCTTTTAGCGTGGAAGAGCTCGGCTTGACGCACAATGCTCTCCGCTCGAGTCATTTGGACTACCTGCGGCAGATGAAATCTCTCCAATCCCTCGATCTCTCACATTCACAATTTATCGACGATTTTTCCGCTATTGCTGAAATTCCGACATTGCGGTAGGTGTACTGTATGACAGCGTATTAAATGACTACCAGCTCAGCCAATAAGCAAGAATTTTTAAAGGGATCGTGACAGTTGAGCCGTCTATCCAGCACAAAATAAAGATTCTTGCTGTCACTGTCCCTTTAAAAGGCTAATTAGGCAAATTACAGTAATAGAATGCTATATCTTGTATCTCGCTGGATCACTTGCCTGCATCTTGGCCGTTAGCTTATTTTTTTAAAGGGAAGGTGCCAGCTGAGCCGTCTAGGACCAAAAAAATCAATTTTGGCTGTCCGTATCCCTTTAAAAAAACGATCTGGGTTCATGAGCCTGAAAATACGATTTTTAATGTCACAGTTCTTTTAAAACTTCGAACTGGCACGTCTACAATACTGAAATGCCGTCTTTTCAGCCGTCTCTACCTGGGCAGTTGTACCCGTCTGTCAGATGATGCATTAATGGCAATCTGTCTCGGCTGTCCTCGTCTCTCCCTCCTCCATATCCCATTATGCCATCAAATTGGATCCACCGCACTCCAACATATTCGATTTTTGTTCGAGCTGGAAAAGTGAGTGTCAATTTATCGACTTAGAATTTTACTTTCCCGAACAATTACTGCTAGCTTGCCTCGAGAGGGGTTCAAGTACCGGGCCGAATTTTTGCCTTCATAGTCCCTTTAAAATTTTTTGGTTTCGTAACTTTTGTAATTTATTGGCTGAGTGTCAGTTTGGCGTCTTTCAATTTTGATTTTGCAAAGTACCATTGCCAGCTAAGAGCAAGAAAGAGGCAGCTAAAAACTGCATGCCAACTGGTCGGCCCGGGGTCGAATTTGGCCTTCACAGCCCCTTTAAGACAATTTTAAAGCTTTTTTGACATTTTCAATTTATAACTCGGATGTCAGTTTAGCAGTCGGAATACTACAATCGTTAAAATACCCTTAATTTGGATCGATATTTCAGTATAAGCCTTCGAGGACTGTCTCGCGTCTCTGCCCATCTCATCTTTTGTCTCAACGGCCTTCCGAATCTTCAAGAAGTCGACATCTCGGATTGTTATCAGGTAAATTTTCTTAATATTTCGATACCTTTCCAATACTTTCCAGTTGACACTCTCTGATATCGAATTATTATGCGAGGCGCCAGCCATCCGTCTCATCGATATTCGTGGAATTCGTCTCCCCAGCCATACTTTTCCGCCAAATATCCGGGTTCTCAGAGATTTGTAGTCTGTATTTAGTTGTATTCTGTAGCCTGTACTCCAGATCGAATCAAGAACGCTCAAAAACTGATTTCAAAAAGCCTAGAGAATTTTAAAAGATTTTTACCATTTTTAAGAGCCTCCGACCATGCTTATCGGCCAAATATTCGTATCCTGTGGGATTTGTAGTTTGTATCTATTTTGCAGTTGTAGCTCAATTCTAAGAATTCTACGTTAAAAATTGCCCGGAAGATTTTTATAGCATTTTAGAGAATTTTAGAAGAATTTTACCATTTTTACTACCACAAAACGAGTCCCTGGTCATTAATGCGCCAATCAGCTCAGTTTCCCCAAATTATCGATGGTTTCTGTCAATCTGTTTCTCAGCTAGATATTTAATGCCATCCCCTACATGTCGCTCCTCCTTACGGGTTTTTAACCCTAGAAATACGCAAATTTCTCTGAAAATTCTGGTCCCCCGCGTTTAGCCATAATTTCCATGTCATTCAGCTCAGTTATATCATTAACGCCTAGTCATACTGGCTATTTTTCTATTCCAAAATATTAACTGGCAGCCAACTTATTGATTTACGCCTTGATTTTGACTGCAACTATCTTAATACGCATTGGTGTGAATTAGAAAGCCCACTTTCGGCCTTGTGCTCTCATTAATCCATAAACTGGCTGTCAGCAAACTGTTCTTGCCGGTTCCCGAGGTTCGCTAATCCCTTCTGCCACGTTTTGCAAGGAATAAAGAAGCCCTTTCTTCCATTCGGATACTTCCAGACATTCCTCAGTACACATGGCAACACACAACCAAACTCATCATAACAGATTAGAGAGAGAGGGAGAAAGAGAGAGAGATAGATAGAGAGAGGGAGAGAGAGAGAGAAAGAGAGAGAGAGAGAGAGAGAGAGAGAGAGAGAGAGAGAGAAAGAGAGGGAGAAACCGGCAGAGAGAGAGCGAGAAACCAGCAACCCTAAAATGATCCATGACGCGCCGACTACGTGTAGATCCGGGTCGAACGGCTTACGAGGTGCTACTACTTCCGCTTCCGCTCGTCCATATTCAAAGGAACGGGTAATCCGGTGCAGAAAATCTTGATCTGTTTGATTCCTGGTGATTCTGACCTGGATTTTCAAGGGATAGCGACAGAAATCAGATTTTCACGTTGGGCCAAAGAACCTCTGCTAGCTTGCCAGTCAGATGACAAGCTGAAATCGTTATATTTTTAGAATTTTCCGGATATTTCTGACATTCTGGCAACCAATGAACATGTTGATGCGTTGTGTGTTTTATTCTGAGAATCCACAGCCTCTTTCGAGCCTCTAGAAATTATTAGTTCCTCTACCCATTAGGTATACATATTCGATGATGATGATGATGATGTTTCTCTCTCTCTCCCTCTCTCTCTCTCTCTCTCTCTCTCTCTCTCTCTTGTTGTGTTGCAAATAGGGCAGAGAAGAAACTGGGTAACGTCACCCACAAATAGCCCCTTTTCCCTCTTTTTCTTCCAAGATCCCCTGCAACTTGATGTGTTTCCCGATTAAGTAATGTTGGTTCTAGGTACCTAAATAGGACTCTAAGATTAGATATCGATAGATTGAAAGCCAGAATAGATAAACTGGCCAAAAACGCAATAATTTTCATGGCGTAAACCGATGTAGTAGCCAAAATCAGCGATTTTCGATTTTTGGTTAGGTGCCAAAAATATTGTCTGTTTGATCCCACAAAGGTTTTTGATAGATGTTTAACCACAAAAGACATCAATTTGAATTTCTGGAAACTTTTCCAGCATCAAAGAAATGGAACCTTTGAAAAAACGCACGAAAAGTCGAATTCCAAATCTCCGATTTCCAGGTTTTAGGCTGCACAAACCAGATACTACAATATCACTAAATTTTCGATAGGGATTTCGTTTTTGCAGCCCCCAATTCCCTGCATATCAGTTAGTATATTCCAGCGGTAATTTGATTTTGGGGATTCCCCGGGTGTCATCAAATACTCAGCGAAACTCATTCCCCCATTTCGCGGGGGTCTTCCCCGTCTGTGACGACATCCATTCAACGCCTAATTTTGGCCATTACCCAATCATCCCACTCGTTTCTCTTTCTCGCCCTCTCTCTCTCTCTCTCTCTCTCTCGCTCTCTCTCTCTCTCTCCCTTCTGCTGAATACTATTCAAATATTGCAGACGTTAAATGGAGTCATAGGGGTCACAAATGATCTCTCCTATCTTTCTCTTTCTGTCTCCCTCTCTGTCTCCCTGTCTCTCTATCTCTGTCTCTCTATCTCTGTCTCTCTATCTCTGTCTCTCTCTCTGTCTTTCTCTCTTTCTCTCTCTCTCTCTCTCTCTCTCTCTCTCTCTCTCTTCTCTCTCTCTCTCTCTCTCCCTCTCTCTCTCTCTCTCTCGTGCGGCTGCTGGTGAAATACTATTCAAAAGTTGCACACGTTCTCTCTCCATTTGCAAACCTTCCCCTCACTGCGTCAGAAAGCGGCTCTTTCAAAGCCTTTCAAAAGCACTACCCGGCTAGTTGACTGGAAAAGCACGGAATTATGGGGTTTTTGAGCGGAAACGCCGTGTTTGTGACGTAGAATTAGAGACAAGCAATGTTTGCTTGTGCCCGGATGCATGGAATATTCAGTTGACCACTGGAATCTGTAATTGAGTGGTCAGTAGATGCTGGAAAATAGAGCAAATGTTGGAGTTGCTAAACTGTCAACCAGATAACTTGACTTGGACGTCGAAATATGGAAATTTGAGTTAACTGGGCTACAAAGTACAAATTGGCTAGCATCGCTTGGTGTTCGAAACGCATGGCTTGAATCGCTCGTAAAGCTTCAAAATTGCAGATTTCTCGTATCCAAGAAGTTCATAAGCTTTCCTGGCGTGCAATGAAGGCCACAAACTACTAAGCTTATTTTATGGAGCTTTCAACGAATATTTTAGTTTTTTTCCTATCGGCCCTGCAGCCAACATAGTGGTATGGGTCTTGTACAGTAAATTTTGATTTTGTGATATCTAATTAACACTAAAAACTACACCACTTCCCTTCCAAGGCTCTCATAAAATATCTTGGGTTTTTCCTACTTATTTTATCGCTGAAAATCCAAATTTTCCAATATTAAACAATTTTTTCACCTTGATTTTGACATCCAAGCAAGACTAAAAACTAGGCAACTGTCCGTCTGTGGCTTGCAGGAAATACGTTAGCTTTTCCCTAGCTACCCTCCAGCCATCAAAATGCCTTATCTGTTTTCATCCCCGTCCATCCCTCAAATGTACCCAAATCCACCTGAGATCCAGTGTAAAACCGTGCCAAAGCACATCCCCGCTCATAATCGACTGCAATGTGTTCATGTGCATAAATTAATCTCTCTATCTCTCTCTCTCTCTCTCTCTCTCTCGCTTTCCTCTAATCCCCATTTAATTCTGTGATAGATGATGTGGTTGTGACAATAGATGTTTGCCAGTCCATTCCATTCCTCCACGTGTCTCCCTTCTTCTTCTTCTCCTCTGCTAATCCTCCAGCTCATTTTTTGTAGCTCATTAATTGAGGTGCTGCTCCCCCGTTGTGGCTTATTGCCCGGAACGGATTTTGCCACGCGACAGGCTGATGGCCGAGTCCAATGTCTGGCCGACCAGCTATTCGGTGGAAAATAGAGAAAAATGGTTGGGTTTTGTAAAAATAACAGTGGATTTGGGTTTTCTGACTAGCAAGGATTTGATATTACCTGGAAAAATTGCAAAAACGAAGAAACTATGCTATTTTAGTTTTTGAGCCGAAGGCCCATCGCTCGCGTCGTGGGCTAGAATTTTGAAGTAATCGTAGCGTTGTTACAAAAATAACCTTTTATTTCTGCTTTCTGGCTCCCAAAGCCCTCGACATGACCTCGAAAAGCCGAAAAAATTACGAAACTCGGGTATCTTAGTTTTTGGATTCAGTTTCTCTGGATCCCGACAGCAGCTTTGAATTTTCAAGAAATCGCCGGATTTTCAGATCCAACCCAATTCTGGATTTTCAAGCTTTTCGATAATTAACCAATGCGTCAATTCCCCTGAAAATTCGACAAATAAATTTCTGATCAAGTTTTTACAAAAATAACCTTTTATTTCTGCTTCTTGACTACCAACGGCCTGGTTTTACCTAGAAAAATCCCCGAAATCGGGAAACTAACATGTTTTAGTTCCTACTCCCCCGATTTCTCGATCCTTTATCCCCCTCCACCTCGACCCAGTTTGAATCCCAGAATGGAACACTGATGTTCCACTGGTCACATTGCAGGGGAAAGCGCATCAGAAGGAGGTGTAGGTGGAGCTGTGTATGGAGTTGACAGCTTGAAACACTATTTTTGGGTCGGATCGAAATGGCGACTGGGTTGAAAGTAACGTTCCGGAAGAGAGAGAGAGAGAGAGAGAGAGAGAGAGAGAGAGAGATGTTCATTTATTCTATGGAGCACATCTAGCAGAACGGGAGGACAGAAAAAGCCTCCCCCGAGATCTCCTCCACCTACACTTTTAGCCCTTGAATGAAATTCGGAAATTTGGGTGTGTCTACCCTAAATTAGCCACATCCCCTAGAAGGAGCTGCAGCCAGAAAGACGCACGTCGAATTTCCGGGTCGAATTTGGATCCGCCCGCACCACGGGGGGACACACGTAGACTGGGGGAGCAGGGTTTCGTAAGAGCCGTTTACTCGAGTTTGGAAAGTATTTAGCAAAAATAAAATATTTCGGGAAGTGATTTTTTGCCTAAATTCTACCGGAATCCTATGCGATAGCTGTAAGTTTGACAAACTAGCTGAACTATCCCCTTTAAACGAGCCAGGATAGCGTTTATGGCCACCCTCGAATACTAAGACCTAAATTCTAAATTCTACCGGAATCCGAAGCGTTACCAAATTTTCGCAAACTGTCTGGTTTTTACTACTCAATCCCGGTAAAACTCCAGAAATAGCGTTTCTAAAAAGCAACACCTAATTTTCGCAATTCTCAGCAAATTGACCTATCAGGTGCCAATTTAGAGAGTGAATGCCAACCGGAGTATTTGGCGGATTTCCAAGTACCCGAAATTTTGGGATAATATCGTGCAAAATTAAAAATCTCACCAAGGTTGAAAAGCCGCTTCGCGACTTTTCAACCCTGGCCCCGTCTAATCCCATGATATTCTTCACTTTGCATAATTCTCACGATTTTCGATGACAAAAAATGAGAAACGCTACCTCTCTTGCCTTATATAGGCTACCGCAGCTTCCGGCGTATGCTAATTGTTTCCTAACAAAGAGGGTGGCCCATTTTTCAACAAAAAACTTAATTTTAACGTCGAAAACAGCTCATTTTTGAAAATTTTATTGGTATGCAGTCATCGCCAGGCCATTACGCACCAAATGACGTATCAAATATGCCCTTAATATTGTCCCCCAAAACGCACCAAATGACGTATTAATATCCCCTTATTGAGATACTACTGGAACAACCTGACGGAAGTTGCATGCAAAGTGGCACACACACACACACAGACACTATTTTTTATATATTAAAAATCTCATGATTTCGTTCTGGAACGCCTGCAATCAAATTGAATCCGATTTTGGTTTTGAAATCGTATCTGGCAATCAGGCTTGAAGAGCCTCGCTCTAGATTCTCAGAATCCGAACAAATAGCTCATTTTAGGCTCGGCATCGACTTTCTGACTACAAAAGTCGATGAGTGGTTGACGATTTTCGATGAAGAAACCTTTAATCCCCAATCATCCCGTATTTTAGTTTTTCAAACCGGTATCTTGTCGAACATTTGGCTAAATTCCAGTTCTTCAAACTTTTCAAAATTCTTCTAGCAAAATCTCCTCGTTCTCAAGGCCTCATAAAAACAAGCTACAATCCAACTAACGACCCAATTCTTGGCACGTCTTTTTCTCGAAAATTCCCGGGCCCAGCCGAGCCCGAGCGAGAGCTTGAGGCTACAATCCGACTCATGGCCGCCTCTTTTTGCAGGGTTGTGTTCAGTATATCTTTTCCAATTAACCTCGCGGCTCTTTCTCCTGGAAATTGTGCACCTGCCTTTTCTCTGAACTTGTCCCCCTACTGCCCCTCCAAAAATAGCCTCAATATTCGGGGGGGCACAAGCAATTAGAGGGGGAGCCATGAGGAGCCACACGTTTTTACAATAGCACCGAGACTGATCCCCACCTCGACCAGGCACATTGGATTTGGGCAGACGAAATAGACCAATCCACCTGGTCGCCAGTTTATGGCCGGCATATTCAACGGGTTCACCCTCTAAATTGGCACCTGATAGGCCAATTTGCGGAGAATTGCGAAAAATTGGGGTTGCTTTTTGCAAAAGCTATTTTCTGGGGTTTTAGAGGTCCCTGGAAAGCTGAAAGCGGCGCAACAGCAAAGAATTATGCAGCCGGCGGGGTCGAAACCGGGATGATCCGCTCCACGGTGCATCATGCTAACCAGTACACCACGATCATCTCACAAATAAAATACGGCATTATTCGGAATTAAAGGTATCTAGTGCGAAAATCGGAAACTTTGCTATACAGATAAGCGATTTACAAACTAAAAACAGTATTTTCGCTAGTTATAAAAACTTAGAACGACTCACTTCGAGCCTGATATACAAATAACCAATTTACAGACTAAACTGCCGTATCAACAAACTTGGCAATCTAAAAAGCTTCCAATTACCTCCTCTGCAAGCCAGTTTACGTGAAAGGCCAGTGTATTTTGTAATTACTGGCATATTACTCAAAAAACATCGCCTTAAATGTGTTGCATTTTTCATTACCAAAGCCAGCTCGAGGTGAGTGCAAAAACAGAATCTGAATCACGCGCCAGTGTACCGATGTGTAAAGTGTGCCCTGGATTACCGTATGTTTTCTGAAGAGAGAGAGAGAGAGAGAGAGAGAGAGAGAGAGAGAGAGATAGAGATCCCCGTTCGTTCTATCCATTGTATCAGATGACAAATCTTTCCCGGGCAACGTGACAAGCTGATAATAATAACGAGAGGTCGGATTAGCGGCTCTTAGGACCCCCAATTGTGGTCTTTTCATCCTAACAAATTGGCTCGATCCATCTGATTCTGGTGCAGCTTATCCGCCACGTGCTGCTCTTTGTGTGTTCCAAATCTAATAGGCTACCGTATGCCCTGGTCAGCAGATAGAAGGTATTTGGGCGGACTGCCAGGAGCCGGTCAGAAACTTGGAAAACACGGCGGCAAATCGGGAGAATCCGTAGAAGGGACAGCAGGAAAGCGAGAAAACCAAATTTGCAATGTTTTTGCAGGGGTTTTAGGAAACTGGAAGCGAGAAATCTACTTCTTAAGGTCGAAGAGATATTACACGACGCTAAACCGAGAATCTTGCAGCTTGGTAGACAGTTAACCGATTTGTAAACTAAAATACGGTATAATTGACAATTATGATAATACAAAGCGATAATTCCCAAGCTTGGTAGGCAGCTAACTGATCTAAAAACTAAAATACCATATCTTTGGAGTTTAAGAGCATCTCAAGCGGTAAAATTGAAGCTTATTAGGCAGATAGCCGATTTAGAAGCTAAAATCTTAGATTCAAGCCCTAAAATCTAAAACTAAAACATGGCATCCAGCCCTACTGTACCTGGTACTGGTACCTGGTTCCTATTAATGCGAAAATCCAGCCAGCTATGCTTTCAATGTAAAACTCGGCTCCCAGAAGCCAAACCTTGAGTTGTTGTGCGGCGGAATTAATCAGCTCGAATCCGTTTCAGACCCAAAATACGGCTTCTTTCGCGGCGCATACCCGAGAATCTGTTTTGAATAGCAATGTTCTACTCGGAAAAGGTGCTTCTGGGTGGATTGTGCTGCTGCAACCATTTGTAGAAAGTGGATGTTTGCACGCAGTCGAGAGCAAAAGATACAAATCCTTTTTTTGGTGGGAAAAAAATTTACTTGGCTGGTGGAATTTCGGAGAATCAGCAAAAGGGCAGATATAGGCAGGGTAAAGGATCAGACAATCAAATATTGCCGAAAAGCATATAGCAGGTCAGAAAAAATTTTTGCAAATTAGAAAACGGCAAGTTTAAGATTTCCGGTGACTGAAAATCCGTCCGAGCGGCGGAAATCTAAAATACTTGAACAAACAAGTTCGCGCTAAAAGAAAGCGTTTTTCCAGAAAGAGTGAACTGCAGTTAAGACTTTTACTTGGTGTAATCGAAGAATTCCGAGCTTCAATTAGTCGCAAAGCCTAAAAAAACCTACGCGTAGTCACTCTCCTACGGCCTCAGGACTAAAATACTTACAGGAACACTTTCGGGCCCAAGTAAAGCCTATTCCGGTTAGCTTGCAGTCCAGTTAGCAGATTGCATCGGTTTTGTCCGAAAACAATTTAGCTTCTATCCGCTCAAAAAAGGTCCGCCACATCAAACCCCACCCCCACCCCCGCCTGCTCGATGACGTCTAAACGCCCATTATGCAACAATTCCCACCCACAAATTTTCCAGACGTAACGGAGCGATGCACTGGATGACAGATTGCCCATTCCGTTTCTTTCCCTCTTTACAACCCCCAAGTTTGGAGGTGCTCCGTGAACGGGGGAGTTGGTGCAGCAGCCAGCCATCCCTTGGCCCCGCCCCCTTTCCCGCGCAGGTATAAATGGGCGGGACGGGGCGGGTTCCCACCAAACTCTCAATTCCCACACAGTAATCTCTCAAGTACCCTCTGAAACTACTGACACATCCAAGATGCTACCCCAGCTATTGGTAATTCTGTTGCCACTCGCTCAGGCTGCGCTTCTTTCCACGCCTCAACCCGATCAAGACGGTATTGCAAAGATGAGGAGTGAAGGGCATCAAGTATCGGTCAGTTTTATCAAGTTTTTATGTTTAAACCAGTTAGATAGCTTAACTGACCGATTTAGAAAGTTTTGAACCCCTTTACATAAAATTTTAGCTTTTTAGAAAGTATTTTAGTTTTTTAAAATGACCAAATGACCAATTTTGTCAAAAATTATTTTTGGGTTAGATATTGTAGTTTCCAAAGTCTTATATATTCTTTTTATTCAATAAATGCTAGTTTATAATATTATCCATTTCAGGACGAACACTGCCAAGTCCTGCTCGAAAACCAGCCAGTGCACGAGCTGATGGAGCGCGTCTGCTCTCATTGTCATGAGTATTTCTCGGATTCAGTGGCCAATCTCCGCTTCGAATGCAGGTATACAATTCTTTGTTATGCAGTTTACCATTCCCTTAGATCAAACTGCTTCCAAAACAAGCGATTCGAGCAGTGCCTCTCGCTGTTCGCCCCCGAACAAAGCGGCACCACCCATCGGGCACGTCGGCATCTCGGGCACAGGAAGAGAATTGGCACCAAGGCATGATCCCCAGCATTTTATTTTGTATCGAATAGGCCATTAATATACCTTCTATTTCTTCAGATCCATTACTTACCTTAAAAATACGAATTCGCAAAAATCCCGGAAAGCTGCTTTTTTAGCCCAAACATCTAGGTATTCGTTGTTAGTTTCCGATTGTTACTATTTACGCAAGTTTTGACTGGCGGAATTTCGGGACTGGCAAACAAGTCAAGTTTTAGAAAGCTTAGAATTGAAAATTCTGCAAAATTTCGTGATGTTAGTCCCATTTCCCTCCAGTCAACTCGCCCTTTTCCGCCATTCTGAATACTGGTATCGATTTTTGTGTGATTTACGGGTATTTTCTCATTTTTATCTTATTCTCTGTATTTGCCGGTGCTCGAAATGATCTCCGGTTGCCAGCAGGATACACCGTAATAAAACTATGACTAATACGGCCGGTTCTGCAGGAGATACTGTAATGCAAAGTACAAGTTGACAGAAAATTCCAAGAATCGCCGATCTGGCGGTGTTTTGGCCCTGCAACAGAGAGATTACGAGACAGTATATCAGGTTGGATAATAAGTTCTGTCATAATTTTTTGAAATCGCTCGTTAAAATCGCAGATGTTTCCGATTCTGGAGTTTGAGGTATGGTTTGATAGGTCTCACAACACTCTATTCTGGGAGGACCGTCAGCTGACCCAAAAATTGAGGGACGTCGAGATACAGGCCCGGGAAGGTTTTCGCAAAATGACGCAAAAGTGTGTTAGCGAGTTATCTCTGCATACAGTAATTTGCATGCGATACCTTAACACCAATCGATAGCTCTCGAGGAGTAGATATCGATAGATAATTAGATCATCAAAATTGGACATCGGATGGCCGAGATACGACCCCTTGAAATTTGGCCCATTTCTTAGAACTTTTCCCAAAATCCCATACATTTGATAGCCCGCGGCCAAAACTGACCGCTTGATTTTCAAAAGAACCGAGCGCATTTTGACCAAATGTATGGGATTTTGGGAAAAGTTCTAAGAAACGGGCCAAATTTCAAAGGCCGATATCTCGGCCATCTGGTGTCCGATTTTGATGATCTCAACATCCATCGATATCTACTCCTCGAGAGCTATCGATTGGTGTCAAAGGTATCGCATGCAAATTGCTCTATGCAGAGATAGCTTGCAAAATAGGTTTGGTACATTTTTGCGGAAAACTTCTCGAAGCTCTATCTCGGCGACTCTCAATTTTTGGGTGCGAGGAGGGTCTACCCAGGGTAGAGCTCGAGGAGACCTATCAAACCATATATCACACTATTAATTTGGGCACGTCTGCAGCTTTAACAAGCGATTCCAAAAAATTGTGACAGAACTTATTATCCAACCTGATACGTGACCAATCGTGTTCCATTTCAGTCTGCAATCTGCAACTTGCCCTCCGAGGCCCCGGAAACGAGATTCATTCCCCCAGAACAGACAGCAGCCAGCCAGCCAGGCTACGGAAATACGTCGTCACGACGGCTTCCTCCAACCAAAATATTCTCATTTGCTCTCTCTCTCTCTCTCTCTCTCTCTCTCTCTCTCTCTCTCTCTCTCTCACCCACTCCCTCTCTCCCCTCTAGACTCATCATTGCAACTAAATTCGGACAAAGTGTGGGTGTCACTGGCGTCGGGCTTCCGCCTTTGTATCTGACGAATTTCCTAGGAGTTCCGTTATTTTTGGGGCTCTCGAGGTACGGGAATCCCTGCAAAACGAGTACATGAATGACTGGACCGGTGGAAGTTGCCGTTTGGAGGGCAGGTGGCTTAATCCCATTTATAAAAGGCACAAATCCGGGTTGTTTAGATATTTTAGTTTTTTTTTTTGAATGACCCGGCCTCTCAAGTCGTTTTTCTGTAATTTCGGTCAAAATTTCGGAGAAATCGCGATTTCTCGAATATTTATTTTTTTAGGGTGGTCGCAAGCAGCATAGACTAGAAAAATTTTGTTTTCTGGCTAGCAAACTATAAATTCCTGCCGAAAAACCACGAAAATTCCAGATTTTCAGCCATTTAAGTTTTTTTTTCTGTGCTATCTGATCGCTGATCTTCAAAATGACGGCATTTGTTGCTTAAAAGGGGTTGATGTCAAAAAGCGAGTTCCAGTTTGGCGATCCTCACTCGTAGAAATTGAGGACAGAAAGGAGCGCTTGGCGAATCGGGGGATGAGTCGGACTCCTGAGCGCCAGTCGAGAAAGGGAGTGTGGAGGAAAAGAGGCATCCAGGGAAACCCCACCAAATTTTAGAAATATAAATAGAATCCGAAATTACCTGAAAAATAAATCTGGCTAAACGTGAAGAATTTAATAATTCTTTCAAGTGTTTTCTGCCTTGCTGGAAAATGGATGGAAATTTTCCAAAAGCCTTACTGTAGTCAGCTGACAGATTGTCGATCAGATAGACTATCCGGCTGGCAAATACCTCTAAATTCCAGCCATTTTCAGAAAATTCAGGCTCCAAAAGTTTGTTTAGCTTTTACCCTGATCTACTGTATGCCACTAGACAGTTTTCCATCCAGGTAGACTATCTGCCTTGCCAATCCCTTAAAAATCGCGCTCCGTGTGGGATGAGACCCAAATGTCTCACCCGTGAAATAATTATGAGGCCAAAACGTCGCAACAGCATTTCTGGAAAGCGGAAAGGGATTTCCGTGTCTCGACTTTTGCCCCATGCTAGCTGGCGGAAAACGACGAAAACGAAATGGCGGAAAACGACGAGGAATTCCTAATGAGCCCGTGCTTATGTTTTGACACGAAAACGGCTGGGGGCGAGGCGATTTCCGGGTACCGATAGACTTTCAGGTACTTGTGTGTTATCGGGGGTCTGTTATAAGAAAATTTCAAGAGATTTGCAAAAATGTGCATTTTAAAAAATGATTTGGAGTATTTTCTAGTAATCAAAAAAAAAACGAGAAATGTTTGCAAAATGCAAATCAAAATTGTTAAACGCAAAACCCACGCTATAGCAAATTTTAAAACTAAAATATTCGTCTTGACAAATCGCTGGCACATAAGTGAAATTTTGGCATTAGAGTTAGGCCAGTTGGGACCGAAAAGCTGTCGGGGTTGACTAAAATATTTGTATTTTTCACATTTTGCTTTCATTAATGTTTTAGAGGTCTTTTCATAAGACAACTAAAGCAAAAATTGCGTTCTTCACGTACTTTCGCGATTTCCGAGTCTCCAGGCAGACATTTCAGATCATAAGGGACTTTTGGTCGGTAGCTCGTGACCAAAGTGGAATCGGATGGATGGGATGACAGAGAGTGTGAAAGCATAGACATTTTGATGTTTCGGCTATGGAATGGATAAGCAGTCAGAAGAGCAGCTAGCAAAAGACTGACGACAGGATGACCTTTCCGGTTGATGGAATATGATTATAGAGACCGGGTCAGACCCGCGACACTCGCTATTCAAATATTCCCCACCTATTCAATTCAGGGGGATGAGTTGGACCCGCTTTTTCTGCAGCCAAATATTGCAGTTTTAGGGAGTAAAGGGGCCCATGGCTAATTGCACGTTTCAGAAGGGCTGAAATTTTGGAAAAATGCTGAACAAAAATTTTAAAAATCTGGTATGGCTTTAGTTGCCTAACAAGGAATACGACGACGGATTGTAGCCCCGACTTCAAACTACAAGTTTTTAGCCGGCCCCGGCCAGGCACAGTTTTCCGAAAATTCAAGGTGCTGAATTTTTCTGAAAATGCTCAAGAAAAAATCTTTGAAAGCTTAATTTTCACTCTAGCAGCTCTTTAACCAGTAAACTGTTCTCATGGAGGTATTTTAGTGTTAAAGTCTACTAAATTACTGAAAAAAGTTTAGGATGCCTGAACCGTCCTACGAAGAAACCAGCAACCAAAGACCTTTTGCAACATGGATAACCCATAACCTAAATCTTCGAGAAAAACTGGTTTTTCCTCTCAACTGACTCACCTACAATGATAAAGTCTGATTTTGATGCATCAACTCCTAACTTCGAATATTTTAGTGTTGTTTTCGTTGAATTTGATCGGAATCCCTAGTTGCCAGACGATCGCTCCATTCAAATTTACCCCTGTGGCTCAAAGCTCCAATAACCTTTCAGACTTCACTACTCAGCTTTGTGCTCCATGATACACCAATCAGAAGCCCTGCTCATGCTCCAAACACACAACATTCGTTTTTCTGGCGCCTGGGGGCGGCTTGGAAAGGAAATAAACAACCTTTTGGGGTGTCTAATCCGGGGTCCGATCACAAATTCTGGCTGTAGACCGGAAACGGGTTTAATGAAGAGAGAGAGAGAGAGAGAGAGAGAGAGAGAGAGAGAAAGAGAGAAGCTGCTTGCAAACCTGTCCATTAATCCATAGTTCCGTCTAGATGAACCGGTAAGTGGCCGGTGAAAAGTTGGGGATTTCCCGTGGATTTGCAGCCGTTTCCGGTCTCCGGGACATTTGTTAGTTATAGGAAGGAAATGGGAGATTTTTTGGCGGATTTCTGGGGGGCAGAAAGTTGGCGGGGATCTCCCTGGAAGAACCGCGCGCAAAAAGTGTGGATCCGGACGAAAAACTGAAAACTAAAATATTTTGTAAAAACGGATTTTTTGAAAACAAATATGTCAGCGGATTCGTTGCGCGGCAGAAAAACAAGTACACAGGTGTAAGTAGGAATATTTAAGTGTCGTAACTAGTTAAATGACGTCCAAATCTAAAAAAGCTACCAAAAAAAGTACAATAAGTTTCTAAAAGCGGATTTTTTTCGAAATAAAGATGTCACTAAAATATTTGCATGGCCAAAAGCACATACACATGTGTAAAATGTAATATTCACGTTGTAACTGGTTAACTGGCTGCCAACGCCTAAAAAGCACCCTTCTTGCATCCGACTGGCACCCAAAAAGTCTTCTCCCCGGCTCAAGTTCGAGATCAAAGACAATTCCCCCATTTTTCTTGTACTGTAGAACGAAGAGGTGTACCAAGGGTGTACAGAGTATTTGTCTGTTCTGTCTGTTCT